CAAAAACAGTGTGCACCTCCTCCCTCCCCTCCCCCTGCCCTCCCTCCTCGCCTCCCCTCGGTCCTCCCTCCTCCTCCCTCCTCTCCCTCCTCCTCCCCTCCGTCCTCCCTCCCCTCCCCCGCCCCGGGAGACCCGAAACGCGAGCCGGGGAAGCCCTCGGCCGGATCGGATGGATGAACTGCGACGCGGAAACAGATGACCCTACACGCGCGCGCCGCGGGACACGGTCACACTTTAACTCTCGGGTCGGGGACACGATTGGACTCGGTGAGGACGGCGCCCGGAGCCGCTGCCCGGGGAGGCCTGGTTCCTCGGCGGGGGTCCCTGTCCTCCTCTAGGTCCTCAACAAAGACCCGGCGGTGACTGGGGCTCCGTTCACGCCAGCATTTTATAAGCGACATCTTCAAACTAGGTGAGGATCCATTTTAAGAAGATTTATTCCTCTGTGATGGAGAAGTATGAAAAAATTGGGAAAATTGGCGAAGGATCCTATGGAGTTGTTTTCAAATGCAGAAACAGGGACACGGGTCAGATTGTGGCCATCAAGAGGTTTCTGGAATCGGAAGATGACCCTGTCATAAAGAAAATCGCCCTTCGAGAAATCCGCATGCTCAAGGTAATGGATGCTTGACAGTGCATTTTCAGGGACTGAAAAATTAAAGTGAGTCGTGCCATGTTAAATAAATGCCTTGACATGTGGTTACATCTCCTTCCTTCATGGACTTTTGTCCTCAGTGACACAAATGGACATCTGTGCACAAGTCACCAATTATATGACGAACTGGAAAGCATAAGCACCTTATGAAATAGAGACAGCAGTGCAGGGAAGGAGGGTGGTGTCACTTTCAGAGATGCTGGGGGCTATTTTATTTCTCTCCCCAATAGCTGCTTCCCATGTCACCTGTAGATCTGGTTCTGCAAGAGCCATCAACTTTGATAGTACAGGAACTTACCACAACTCGGGTTTGCTAGCCTTCATGATGTTTCAACTTCTAGACTATCTTCTGAGGATATCCTCAGTCCATTAAGAGAATTAATCATTCACCTGTTTTCAAACTGCTAGGAAGCTGACAGGTTTTCATTATACCTCACATTTATCTACTGCTGAGCATCATAATGTCCTGTCTCTAGAAAGATTCTTCTTAAGAAGTGAAATGATCACTTTAAAAATGTTTATTAGTTTACCCTAGGAGACCATGATATTAGAGGGAGGGGGAGTTGATTATTACGAGTTGAAAGCATTTTTTTCCTGTAGTGGGAAGAGGCTTCTTTTCTGAATTTCTGTGAAGATGAAACCCAAACCGCAAGGCAGAATGTGACAATGTAGTGAACTCAGTGGGTTAATGTGGTTTCACACAGTTAGGGCCTCCAAGTTCTGACTTGTACAGCTGTATGACCCTGTCAGGGAAGAGCACCCTGATGGGAGGGGAGGGGATCATCCGGGGTCTCTCTCACCCTTGCTTCTCCGACCTCTCCAGGCCTCTCGAACACTCTTCTTTTCCCGAGGAATTGAGTGTGTGGGGTTGTCTCTGGATGAGGACCCTGAATGGGAAGCAGCAGGCTTTGGGTAAATGAAATGGGTGGATAACAGGAAAACTGTCTCTATTTGGGTTTAGGATGTTCTTTACCAGGAGGCTCTTACCTGTTCTGAGAAGACATTTCCAAGCCCCTCTCCCGCAAAGGGGGAGACCAGCAGTGTTGGCCCACCCCACCGCCTGAACCCTCTGCCCTTCCCACACTCACGGTTTCTCTTGGGCTGCTGGGTCTTTTCCCCTTTCTCAGGCTTTCCCTAGAGGAGAATGTGGTAATTGTATTTCAGGGGTTCATTTATTCCAGAGGAAAGACCGTCTGTTTCTAGTGGAGAGGTACTTGCTCTCTGATTCTGAGGGTGGCCTGTGAATGCCTCTCTGCACCCTCCGCCCACCCTTCAGCAATGCAGTGCTTACAGGTGCTGCTCCCTGAATTAACTGAGTTCCTCTGGGATGGGGACCTCACCTCTTTATCTCTGTGTCAGTTACTTGGCACGTAGCAGGCCTCCAATAACTGTTGTTGTTGGATTGAAAAAAATGTCAACAAAATAAGCTCTTAGGGAGGGTAGATGTTGCCAATAAATTGGGACGTCAGATGTGTTCTCTTGAATAACTGAATGTTGATGTGCTGTAAAGGTAGACTTGTGTGCACAGGAACCTGGTTCCAGAGCGCACAGCACCTCATTCTCCAGAGTCAAGTGCACACAGGTAGACTCCCCATATCTCTAGGAGCCGATGGCAGTAGATTAGCAGTAGCATCTGTCCCCTTGAACCCTAACTTTTCCGAATTCTGTGATATTCCTAACACAAAATGGGTACTTAAATATTTGCTGAATAAATGAATTGAGGGTTTGTTAAATGAAGTCATATTTTGTCCATTTGTTTATTCAGTAGATATTTATGGAGGCCTCGTGTGCCTAAAACAATGTTTATACAAAATTGTCCACCCTGTCTTTCAGACACTTAATTCGTGGAAGGGAAGTAAGATGAATTTCCCCTCGGCCCTCACTCCCAAGAGACCGGGTTCCTGATGGGCAGGGCCTGTGTCCCCATGCCTGGCAAGAACCCTCTAAACAAAGTGTTTGGAGGTGCATTTGAACTCGACTTTGAAAAGTTTCAGGAGGCATGGGATGAGAGAGAAGGCATGCAGGGCAGACAGTCTCTCCTAGGAAAAGGTCACGAGAGGAAAGCAGCATACTGAGGGAACACATGTGATAACCCCAAAGTCTTGGCCGAGATGCCCGCTGGGCTCTCACAGGCCAGGGAGAGAGGGAGGGAAAGGAAGCCGGGGTCCAGCAGGAGGGGTGCGAGGAGCTTCTGGGGTACAGGTCTGGCCCTGCAGTAAGTGACAGTTGGCGTGTAGCTGCACGTTGGTTCCAGGTGGCCTTTGGGGTTTGGGGCCTGACTCCAGGGGACATGTTGTAGTCCCTGAGACGGGGAAACTGGTGAGGTCCAGGCAAGAGTTTTAGGCCCCCTCTGAGCTGGAGTTCAAGCCAGGGCTCCAGTGCCGGTGGGAAGAGGAATGCAAAGCGAAGTTCTGAGGGAGGCCCTGGGAGGGTTGCAGCTCAGTGGCTCGCTAAGTTGAGTTCCTAGTTGTTGGGTTTTTTTTTTCCTTGCATACCCCTCACAGAGCTGGAGTTTTAATGACCCATGCTAAGGTCAGGAACTAGGACCCAGGAGGGCTGAGGCTGAAGGTACCTCAGTGACCTTAGCCAAAGCAGTGAGGACGGGTCAGGGCTGACCCCCTGACCGCTCCTGTTACCATAAGGAAAGCAGGAAAGGTAGATTGAGACCAGGTGTCGGGGGCTTTGAATGCCAGGCTAAGGAGTTTGGCTTTCTTCTGAAAAGAAGGAAGCCAGCCAAGATTTTTTTATTTGAAAGTTGTCATTTGCAGATTTTGGATTTCATGGACCAGTAAAATTTCCCAAAAAGTTACTTTATTTATTTATTTATTTTACAGATCGGGATACGGTTGTAAGCATTTTTAAAAACTGACTACTGGGGCTGGCCCCATGGCGTAGTGGTTGAGTTGGGCACACTCCACTTTGGTGGCCCAGGTTCGCAGGTTCAGATCCCAGCACAGACCTACACCACTTGTCAGCCGTGCTGTGGCGGCGACCCACATATAGAATAGAAGAAGATTGGCACAGATGTTAGCTCAAGGCGAATCTTCTTCAGCAAAAAAAAAAAAAAAAAAACCCTACCAACTACTATCACCATCACTTCACAAAAGAAAGGGCATTTTAATATTGTTTTTAAAAACTAGGAAAGACATAATTTTAGAAAAAAGCAGAGTCTTCCCAAGAGAGTAGTTGACACCTATAAATAACATCTGTATATATACATTTCTCTGGTGTGTGTGTGTGTATGTGTGAGTGTGTATCATTGCCCTTATTTTTTTTGTTTCACTATCCATTGATGAAGATGGTGACATCATTTTGTTTTGTGTGTGAAAGTGAGTACTAAGTCTGGGAACAAAAAGATTCCCCAGATCAGGGGAGGTCCTGCTTGTGGGATCCGTATCTGATATAATGAAATACTCGTACCACAGAAGAACAGAGTGGTCCCTTGAATTTTATGTTATAATAGAATTTGGTCTGTATCTATCCTCAGGGAATTCCTTGTGTGTATGTTTTTTAAACTGTTTATTGAACAATTTAAAGCAACTCCCAATAGTTGCTATTGGACTTTTTTAAAAATTGTAGTTGCTTCCTCTTATGCAGATAAGATTATGAGAGTGAGTTGTCTAGCCACCAGCTGTGTGATTTCCAAGGCAGCACACCTACAGTGCTTCCATTCTTGATGTGAAAGTGTAGATAAAGGTGTAACCATCCATTGGTAAACGCTTTTGAGTGTGATAATTACTATCAAGAAACCTATTTTGGTAATATTTTTAGAAAACATTTTTTCTGAAAATCTGAAACACTTTTCAAACAGCATTATTTCGTGCTATTTGGGAAAAAGTGTGTGACACATTTTTGCGAGACAAATTCGGTATTTGTACTAATAAACTGCTTCCTAAACCATTTACCAAAAGGTCCTACTGCAGTCACCCCTTTCATGTTTTAATTGTGAATCCTTTTGTTTCCAGCCTACATAATTAGGCTTTTAAACAAATAAACAATTGCTCCAGTTAAAATCAGTCAGCTCACACTCTACTTTAAGAACAAATTAAGTACCATTCTAGTGACAGTAATAAAATTATACTGCAGTAGCTGAGCTCAAAGCAGCTATTGTACCCTTTCTCAAACTCACTTTCCCTTGTGAAATGAAAAAAGAAGGAATTCAGTATTTTCAGTGTGTTTGGTGAGATACCTGGGCGTAAGGGAGTTGACGTGTTAGTTTGACAGGTTTTTACAGAACTCCTGCCACATACCAGGCTCTGTTCTTGGCCCCTGCCCTCACAAGTAAGGAGAGACCAACAGTAAACAAATAATTATATGTCAGTGGTGAGAGATAAAGCAGGATAAGGGGTAAGGGGTGGTGGAGGGGCTTGCTTTCCTATACAGGGGTTAGGAAAACCTTTCTGACGACTGGCATTTGAAGAGAGACCAGGAGATGATGAGAAGGGTTGACTCATGAAGCTCCGGGGGAGAGCATTCCAGGCAGAAGGAGTAGTTAGTACAGAGGCCCCAAGGCAGGATCAAGTGAGTGTTCTGGCGTGTTCTAGGAGGAGCAAAGATGAGTGTGTCACAGAGTAAGCGAGAGCGAGAGCGAGTCATAGGAGGTGAAGTTAGGGAGATAAGGGCTCAGATGTGAGGGCCTGTGCACCACGTGGGTTTTACTGTGACTGAGGTGGGAGCCATCAGAGGGTTTTGAACAGAGGGGTGCCCTGGCATGACTTACATTCTGGAAGGATTCCTCTTGCTGCTGGTCGCTCCAGCTCCAGGAGCAGGAAGATGAGTTAGAGACTGTTGGAGTAATCCAGGTGTGAGGAGAGGGGTTTGGTCAGAGAGGTAGTGGTGGAGGTGGTCAGAGTCAAGATTTTTCTGAGAGAAGAGCTCGTAGGAATCCAATTGTTGGATGAGGAATCAAGAATGACTCCAAAGTTCTTGACTTGAGGAACTGGAAGAAGGAAGAGATCATT